GCCTTCTCGGCCGTGTGGATGCGCTGGTGCCGCACGAGCGACGAGCTGTGCCGGAAGGCCTTGCCGCAGGCCGGGCAGGCGTACGGCGTCTCGCCGCTGTGGATGCGCTGGTGCTGCGTCAGGTGCGACGTCTGGCTGAAGGCCTTGCCGCACTGCGCGCACTCGTACGGCCGCTCCCCGGTGTGCGTGCGCAGGTGCTTGAGCAGGTCCGAGCTCTTCACGAACACTTTGCTGCACGCCCTGCACTCGAAGGTCTTTTCCGCGGGGAGGAGGCCGGGGCCCGCGTGGAGGGCCTCGCCCAGCTCGTCCCAGGTCGGGGGCCCCTGGCCGGCAGGGAGCCTCCGAGACGCCTGCCAAGCCGCACGCATCCCTCGCTCACCGCCAGCGTGACCGGCCTCCGGGTCTGGGTCGCTCGGGAGGGTCCTCCCAAGGGCCTCCCGCAGGAACGGCTTCTGCCGCTCCGAGGCCCGTGGCTGCTTGCCGCGCTCGGGGGAGTCCACGAGGGCTTTCTCGGGGGGTGCGCTGCCCGTGGGAGCTCTCAGCGGGGAGGTCAGCCGCAGGCTGACTCTGGCCTCGCCCCTGTCCGGGCCTAGCATGAGCCTTTCCCAATAGATCACGGAGACCCCCGTGGGTTTTCTCTCCTGAGATGAGCTAGTGCCCCGCCGACCCTCCAGGCGTCTCCCGCGTGCACTGGCTGCAGTGGTGGGGAGGACACTACTAGGCGTTGGAGGGAGCCTATCCTGGAAGGTCCTTGGCCATGCCTGGTCTCTGGAAACATCTCTGTCCTCTGCCAGATGCTGGGAACCTGAAGGCAGAAACGGTGGATGTGTGGGTCATTCGCAACAAGAGGAGGTGACCAGGGCAGGCCGAGGTCTGGGTGTGGAAGCTGGGGAGAATAGAGGCCCGACACCCTGTCCGTATGTAGCTACAGATAGTCTTGGGGACACCCCCGCCTGCTTTTGCTGCTTGGGGACACCCCAGCCTGCTTTTGCTGCTTGCACTGACGGCTTCCTGATGCTACAGTTTTAGTCACTCGTGAACTGTTTACTAACTGCCTCCTCCCCAGCATGGTCAACCCCACGAAGGCAGGACTGGGAGCATCCTGGTCCAGGCTGTGCCCCAGTGCTCAGAACAGGCCTGGGCACTGCAAGTACTCCAGAAACAACAAACACGCGAGCGAATGGCCCCACGGCAGTGGCGAGATGAGACAGGGAGGCTTTGAACCACACGCCTTGGCTAAGGGTGGGATTTTGACCAGGTCTCAGCACAGCCTAGGAGTGTCCTTGGAGCTCCCTCTTTAAGGGCAGCCAAGGTTGGAGCCTCCAGGAGAGCCTAACGGTGGAAGGAGACCAGAAAGGAGTTGGGTGGGAGGCAGGAGAGGGGAGTATCCAGGAGGTGAGGAAGGGGGGACACAAGCTTTGCGTAGGTTGACCGCAAACTCACCCCCCCAAGGTCCCACTCACTAGGGCTGGGCCTCCTCTGGGCGTTCCTGGCCAGGGTCACATCCGTCCCACTGAGAACCCAGGGCTCCTCACCACGCTCGAGCTGGATGACTACACGGGGTCGGGAGGCAGAGAGGCCTGCGACAGAAGATAAGCAAGTGAGGGGCCAGCCCCAGATCAGAACAACCAACTGCCCAACAGATGGCAGGAGTCAGGGCTTCGTGGGACACAGATGGCGTCATCTGCGCAACCAAGAAAACCCAAAAGTCGCATCACAGATCAGGGTTCACAGGAATAGCTTAGTGGTGCCACTCTGGAAAGGGACACTCAGCCAGTGGCTGTGGGGTTGCTCCCAGGCCACCAGGAGATGTGGAGTTAGTGCTGGAGGACCAGCTGGCAACAACCGAGCTTTCCCACGGAGGACCCAGGGCTTTACCCAGCGAGGCCACGAGTGCGAAATTCTCCAGCATCACGTGGCAGTACAAGGCCCTCTGGGCTGCGTCCAAGAGATCCCACTCTTCCTCGCAGAAGTACACGGCCACATCCTCAAACACCATCAGGCCCTATACAGAGAACGGGGAGATGGACGTGATCTAAGCTATGGCTGTGAGACCCAAGATCCAACTCCCTGTCCCAATGGCTACCTCCCCCAATGTCCCTCAGACACTCGCCTTCCTCCCACTGGGCTCCAGATGCAAGCTCTCTCACTTGTCTGGGCCCCCTCCCTGTCTAAGCCTTTGATACCTCATTGGCCTCCCCACTAGCCACTCTACACAAGGCAGCCGGAGCAAGCACCCGGCCTTCAGCTGGCTGCCATCCCACGGGCAGTCTCAGGCGTCCAGTCATTCTCCAGCCTTTGCACAAGCTGACCTTTCCCAGGTGTGCCCTCGTCGCTTTTGTAGTAAGCAACTGTATAAGTCCCAGCTACCCGCCCCTCCACATGCCCAACTCTTTTGGGATGCCCGCCCCTGCTGAAACCTGCCTGACATTTTAAGGCTGCTCATCTAGCGTGAAGGACTGGCCGATCCCCTCCAGTCTCCACAGGGGTGGCCCCAAAGATCTAATGGGTGAACGGGAACCAGTTCCATTTCCTTTTTATTTGGCTGTCACCCTCCCTTTCCTCAGCCACCTGCCAGGCTTCTCAGAGCCCCGGGGACTGCCGGGAGCCCGTCATCTCACTGGAGCACTAACTGCCAAACCCTGGCTGAGTCCGTGAAATCCTTTCCTCCTACAGTTGACTCTCAGGGTGACTCGTCTAAGGACAACAGGACTCTGTCCTGGGATATCTACAATTACAGGTCCACGTGATGCCTCTACTCTGGGACACCGCAGACTTCCAGATTTTCTCCTGAAAACTATTTTCCTTTCAAATCCCTGATTTTGTCTACAGCAGCTCCACTCTGGTGCTCAGACTAAAAAATTTGAAACGTTCCTTCCCTTGGGACACCCGCTCACACCCCGCACCAGAATTCAACCACTTTCGGCTCCACTGACACAATCTGGTCCACGTGTCATCATGGCCTCCCCCCAGAACACCGTCACTCCCCTCGGCTAACAGTGGGATTCGTTAAAAAACTTAAATCCTCCATGACTCACTGCGCTCTCGGGATAGTTTTAACTCCTCGGCCAGCCATTTCGGATATACCTATCTTCTGACCCCGAGCTCCACGTTGACAAGCTCAGTTGCGGAAGCAGCTAGGCTGTCTCCCCTCCCAGCTTTTGTCCGTGCGGGACCCACCCCTTGGAACTTCCACATGTCACCGCCTTGGCAGCCAGAAGTGGGGATCCCACAAGTGCACACCCCACTGGCCTAGGGCGAACCGAAAGGAAAAGACGAGGAGCCCCAGTAAAGTCCCTGCCTCCGTCGGGGCTCGAGCCATGGTGGGGGAGACGGCGGCCAAGGCGGGTGGGGTCTGGGGCTCCCTCTGCTCACCTGTGCCGCCTCCGCCATCGGAACCTGTACTTGGGGCGGCCGACTCAGGGGCCCCGGCTCCCGGTCTCGGTCTCCCGGTCCGTCAAGGGCGCAGACGCTCAGGGAGTCGCCTCCGGGGTTGGCCCGGAGACGGACGAGCACGTGGCTCCGGGCGCCGCCCGAAGGCTCCACGAGGCCGCCCACACTACACCCGGAGAAACTGAGGCTGGAGGGGGGCGTCGGCCCGCGGTCACGGCGTACGCAAAGCGGGCCCTGAGCCCACGTCTTCCTTGGGCCCTCGACTAGGGTCTCCAGAACCTCCTGAAGAACCGGCCGGACCAGCCGCGCTCCAGCGTCCAACACCGGTGTGGTACGACGCCCGGCAGCAAAGTGACAGTCTTGGACGCCGGAAGGCCGGCCCCTGCCAGCCCTTATTGGCCCAATGCGCGCTGCGGACGCACGCGCGGAGCCTCCTGGGAAGCGTAGTTCCAGCTGCTTTCCGCCGCTGGTGGGCGTGCCTTCCCCGATCTCCAGGGCAACGGCCAAGCATCACCGCGCAGGATTCTGGGAAGTGGAGTCCCAGCCTTGCTCCAGCTTCTGCGAGGTCGCGCACTTGGACGGGATGCTCGGTTAAGCGTCCTGTTGGATTCCTGGAGTCTCCACGCCCATCCAAGAGGCCCTCCAGTGCTAAACCCTGGAAACTGCTAAGGTTCCTGGAGGCGACCAGAGAGCTCAGAGCCCTAAAGACAAAGCTTAATGGGAGGGGTGGGTTTAGGAGGGGTTGGGATTCCAATCCCAGTTCTGCCTCTAGGCAGCTGTGTGCCCCGTGCGAGGTTTACCCGCTCTGTGCGGCGGTCTTAAAGGGAAACCATAGACCCGAGATGGCGTCGCTCGTGTGGAAAGCCTGTGGCACCTGTTAGGTTCGCGGAAGGAAGAACGCACAAGGTCGAGGGGGTTAAGCAGCATTTACTGTAGCAGAGTGACAGACCCGCTGAGCCGAGGATGGCGTCAGCCCCGAATGCGAAGGGACCTGAAACTTCTATGGGGCTTGGGGCGGGCTTTTTTGGTGGGAATATTTGGGGCGGGTAAATTGGCGGGGAAGGGAGGAGAGTCCACTGAAGTGGGAGGTGAGCATGTAGCGTGGCTAACCAGGATTTCCCACACAAAAGTAAGGGAGAAGTCTGGTTTCCACACTACGGGGGTTAGGGATAGGGCCCTCCTGGAACTAACAGTACCAAACTTAGATTTAACGCCCGATCTAATTGATCTATTAGATCAACCTCTCCTAGAAACTTAATCAGTCTGGAATTTTTCTGGTCAACCCCAGTAACGTCATCAGTCTATCACGTGGACCCTCTCCATCCTTGCCCACTCACCCTCACCCATAGAAAAAGAGGCAATCCGTGTAATAAAAATTCTTCTCTTCCCGCCCCAAAGAAAAGACGTCCTGGCACAAAAGTAATCCTTTCTTTTCTTTGTTAATAGCTCCCTTGCCCCGCCCTGCCTCCTATAAAAACTTTCCGTTTTGTACAACCCCTCGGAGCGCTCTTCTAGTTGTTAGATGGGGTGCCACCCATTCATGAATCACTTAATAAACCAATTAGGTTTTCAGATTTACTTGTTTTTTAACAGGTTCCTTTGCTATCTGTAAAATTAAATGTCAGCGAACAATCAAAAAGAGGAAGTGGGAGACGCAACAACAGATGGAAGAGGTTGGAGTGGTTTGAGGACAGTCAGGAGCCAAGGCGTGCACGCGCCCTCTACAGGCTGGAAAAGGAAGGAAACGAATTCTCTCCTAGACCCTCAGGAGGAACCAGCTGTGGAAACACCTTGATTTTAGCCCACTGAATCTGATTTTGCACTTCTGGACTCCAGAATTGTAAGAATACATCTGTGTTGTTTTAAACCACCCGGTTTGTGGTAATTTCTTATAGCAGCGATAGGAACTAGTACATTCTCTGCGCAGCTCGCTTCCTCACCGGAGAAAGTCGTTCTTTAAAGGCTGGCAGACACTTGTTCTCTCTGGGGATTGGGAGCCCTGGTGTCACTGACTTTCCTATAGCTTGTCATTCCTGTCACCAGCACTGAGGCTGGAGAGAATCCCATTTTCAGGCAGTCTAATGGAAGAAGCAGGCCTTCCTTGTCCACATGGGTCCTGTGGACTAGTCCCCGATCAGGCTCTCGTGTGCTGTGGCCAGGGTAGGCCCTTCCTCACCCAAATCTCGGTGTCTTAGTCCCTCTCTGGACCCCATGGAATCATTCCTGGTTGTGCCAGACACACTTGAGAAGAAGTCCCTAACAGACCCCGGGGTTGTCATGAGGCAGAGAGTACAAGAGGGGATGCCATCCGAGCAGAGTGTATGTATACCAGTGGGGTGAGTGTCACAGGCCAAGACCACCAGGCAGCCCCAGAAAGCTCACCCAGTGACACATGTGCATACATACGCCTTCAGAGTCACCTGGCTGCACACAAAGGGGCACTCCTGGATGAAGTCATTCATGCAGGGGATGCAGCAGAAGCTCCTGGTCCAGCCCTATCCTCTAGCAGGACCAGAAGCACCAGAGTGGAGAGACACAGTGCAAAAGGGGCATGAACTGGCCTCTTCTGATCTCCAGTCACCGTGCCCACAACAAATCTGACCTTTCAGCAGAATCTTCACCAGCAGGAGAAGTCACAGGGGCCTTAAGTGTGTGGTGGTCAGGAACTGACCCACTCTGGCCAAGGGGACAGACACATGGAGTGTTTGCTGGCAACTCGGGAAGCTTCCCTGCTTCGTGGACATTGTTAAATCTGCATGTGGCACCTGTAATGTCCGAACGACTCTCTTCCTTATCTGAGACTGCACTGGGCTCTGTGATGATAAAAACCAGGTTGATTACAGCACCTTTGCTCCAAGAGTATGGTTGGAGGGGCAGGGGGCAGAAATGGGTCGCTGCCTGTGTGAAGAAGGGTAAGGTTCTCGGTGGCGACAACCTCTGCCTCTGAGGACACAGGGTGGGGCAGGTGGCCGCACTGTCCTGTGGTGGTACGATGGGCACTGCCTCAGGTCTCTAAGGAAAGTCCAAGGACTCTGCAGAAAGAACCTGTGGCCTGGATTTCAGAGTTACCTTTGTGCCTGGGGCTCACCCGAGGAGCCAGTAGATGACTTAGGAGTACAGTGGTCTGAGAGAATGAGGTAGCAGGTCCCTCATCCCCGGCATATCTTGGCCACAAGCTTGAGATGAAGCTGTCTTTCTGTGCCTGACCAGGAAAATCAGATTGTTGTAGGCAGGCTCAGCACCATAAGACTTGCAGGGGCAGGTCAGAAGCGTATGTGGGAGAATGACAGGTGCAGGCCATAGTGAGTGGGGAGACCCAAGCCCAGTAGGCAAGGTCATTGCCTGTGAGACCTACAGGGACCAAGCTCGTATCTACTGTGGCCTAGGTCCCTATCTGAGGAAATCACATCCTGCATCCTGCATTTTTTTGAGGTATCATCCTGATAGCCGTCACCCCTCCAGAAGAAACCCAGAGGGGCTTCTGTTGCCCAGGCTGGGTTCATGGTGACCCAAGAAGACATGGCCTTCATGCTTGTCCAGTACAAGGCCAATGAGGCATGGCTGGCCCAACCTAGAGGTGGAGAAGGGTAGAAAGGAGGCAGGAGATTTAATTGTGGTTGCCAGATCTTCTGGTGTGTGTGTGCCTGTGTATGTGTGCGCGCAAGCAGGAGATTTAATTGTGGTTGCCAGATCTTCTGGGGTGTGTGTGCGTGTGTGCATGCGTGTGTGTGTGTGTGTGTGTGTGTGTGTGTTCTGGGGGAACTGGAGCTTCTAATTTCTTTGTGGAAATTTCTGCTTTTATAATCTGGCACCTGTTTTAAAGTATCTAATAGGCATGTGAATTCAATGCGGCAGGCAGAATCATGGTTGCTCAAAGATGACCAGAACCTGTTAATACGTTATCTCACACAGTGGACTTTACAAGTATGAGTATGTTAAAGATCAGGATTATCTGGGTGAGTCCAATGTAATTACATGAGCCCTTGAAAGCAGAGAAACACAACCCAAATTGTAAAAAAATTCAGTTCTAGAGGTGAGAAATCTGACACTCCTGTCAAATGCTCTAAAATCAAGGTGTTGATAGTGCTGCGTTCCTTTCAGAAGTTCTGGGGGAGGTGCTGCTCCCTTGTCTATTCTGGGCTGTAGAGGCTGCCAGCATCCTTTGGTTTGTGGCTTTTTCCGTCTTCAAAGCCAGCAATGAAGAATTGGGTCTTTCTTACATCGCATCACTCCGACTCACTCTCAATCACCACTTTTATGGACCCTTGTGATTCTGTAGAAGCGTTTCTGCCTTGTCTTCTCCTGACAGCGTGTGCGAGAGCCTTGGGATGAGGATGATGATGAAAACAAAATAGCTCTCATGTATTTAGAACCCCATGCCTGCCCATGTGCTCAACGCTTGTCATGTCACTTCTCATGAGGAAAGCTGTATTTTCCAAATTTTCTCCCCGGACTTTGAAGTCGACCTGATTCTGGGTGAGCATCAGAATCTCCAGGAGGGCTTGTCAACACACAGTGTTGGGGCTCACCCAAGTTTCTGATTTCGTAAGGGTGGCCGCAAGAACTTACATTTCTAGCAAGTTCCCCAGTGATGCTGATCCTGACTCAGAGACCACAGTTTGGGGACCAATGAATTAGAAACATTTAATGTGAAAGAACAAAGTCCCCATGAGGAGACATTATCTTCACTTCACATACTCGAAGAAGAGAAATGGGTTCCCAGGGGCCCCCTCAAGGCTGGTAGCCCCTCGCCTAGAACACGGGTCACTTGCTGGACATCTCTGAGGGAGGAAATCCGCGAGCAGCCTCTTTAAGAAGCTAAGACACAACCCTGCCATTCTTCCCCTCTAGACTCCACTTACTAGAGGCCCTCGCGGTGCACCTGGGCGTTGCCATGGAGACCGAGTGGGCGCCGGGTGCTGGGCGGGTTGCAAGCCGAACTACATTGACCAGAAGGCGCCGGGCTCTGGGCCAATCACAGCCCGGAGAAAGAGCTGCTTCCTGCGGCTCGTGTCGGTGAGGGAGGGACTTCCGGCACGACCTTTGCGGACGTTCATTTTGCTCTTGACAGGTCGTTCTGCTCCGCCCTTGGGGGCCTGACCGGTGGGTCCGGAAGGCTTTACAGGCGCCCCCTCGGGACCAGCCGGGGAGGACAGTGAGCAGGATGGGGCTGACCTCTGCGCTTTCTACGGGACGGGAGCCCCTGTAACGGGGCGTCCTCCGCACCTGTCCTGGGCCCCCGCGGCCCCCGGAGGTGGCGCCCTGGGCTTCGTGCGTGTTCACACCGTGGAACCGAGGCCTCGAGCGTGACAGGCAGCGGGCGGGCACCCAGTGCAGGCGTGGGATCGCCTCAGCCCGCAGGGCCGGCCGGGCTCCGATGGCGGTGGCGGCGGCACTGATGGACCCGGCGCGGGTGAGTGGAGGGCGCCCCGCGGCCCTCGCACTCCTACCCACATGGCTCCGGACCCCCCAATAAAAGAGAGAGGGATGTCCCTGGACTCTTCTCCGCCCCTTCCTTTGCTACCAAGGATCATAGTCACCCCAATCCCAAGGTCTTATTTCCTGGCCAGGGGTTACGTGGAAAGGTTATTTCTGGAATCCAGTGGGTCAAGGTGTGGAAAGCTGTTTCAGGCATAGGGACCGGGATATGCACGTTTGGAGATGAGGCGGAGCTGGGAATGTTCAGAGATTTGCAAGTCTCCGTTATGACTGGTGGACAGGAGCCAGGTCTGGAATGGCAGCCTGAGGAGCTGGGCCTGTGATCTGAGGGTGGTGGGAACCATGGAAGGTTTGGAGTAGAAGAGGGAGGTGCTCTAACTCAGGTCTTCAGAGGCACCCTCTGGCTTCAGAGAGGAAAGCAGAGCGGGTGGGGGGTGGGGGGTGGGGTGAGGGTGAGGGAAGAGAAAAGGAGGCCCATAAGGATGCTACCTGAATATATCAGGGGAGTGATGGTGGTGGCTTGGCCAGAGTGGTCACTGCAGTTGGGAGAAGGGGTTTGATTTTGGATCTGCCTTTTAACTTAAGCAAGCCAGATTTTATGATGTAGAGGGTGTGAGAGAGAAGCAGAGGAGGTAGGGATGTCCCATGGATTTTGCCCTCAACAATGAGAACGCAGAAGTGAATGGACTGAGCCGGGGAAGTCGGTGGGTGGAGTAGGTTTCAGGGAAGCTCGGGGGGTGGATTTAGACCATGCTGAGGCTGGTGTCCCAGAGACGCCCAAGGATTGAATGGGCAGGTGGACATGCAGGTCTTAAGTTTGGGGAGGAGGATGACCTAGGAGTGTGCAAGGAGGGGGTTTGTCTGGAGGTCACAGACTGCCCACCAGCGTGGAGGGATGTGGGTTCATTGGCCTAGGTCTGGATGGGTTCATCTGTTTTTGCTTTGTTTTCCTGCTGCCTTTTGGTCTGGTTGACTTGGCTGTCCTCCTCATGGCAGGGCTGGGGGACATTTGAGGATGTGGCCGTGTACTTCTCCCGGGAGGAGTGGGAGTTCTTGGATGAGGCACAGAGACACCTGTACCACAGTGTGATGCTGGAGAACTTGGCACTTGTGGCCTCGCTAGGTAAGGGTGTCACACTCCCCATCTCCTGCTTTAGGCTCTGCCCCTTTTCCTCCCAGAATCAGCTGACTCCCCACAGCTGAGCATGGACGCTGCTGCTTCCTCCCCAGACTGTCTGCTGTGTGTGTAAAACCTGTTTTTGTTTTTTTTTTTCCCTCCAAGGAGCCATAACACATGCCCCTGAAGCCTTCAGTAGAAGGCTTGGAGCCTCAGCCCAGCTGGCTGACTCTGTTCAGATCAGTGGCACCTCTATGCTCAGGTTCTGCCCCCTTTTACTGTCAGACATTTCCAGGAGCCTGGCTGTGCCATGGACTGCAGACAACGACATGGTCACTGGGCTGTTCCTGTGAGATGCTCTTCAGAGGCTTATTTTGTAATATTGTGTTTCCTTCCCAGTTGCAAAGATGATGCGAGCTCCCTTTGGAGTGTCACAGGGTGGGTTGCCTCGAGCTGGGCCAGCCACTCACCCACCCCATCTTTCTCCCAGGACCTGCATCTCCTAAGTCCTGTGTGGTTGCCCACCTGGAACAAGGCAAAGATCCCTGGGTGCCTGATAGGGAAGATGTGTCTCCAGCCACTGCAAGAGAGACCTGGAGGGGGCCTGGTTCTGGTGAGTGGGAGCTGGGGGCAGAGGTGACACTGGGGCTGAGCTCACATTGTACTGTGCACTTGCCCTGTGTCCTCCAGTGTTTGTTACTGGGGCCAGTAGTCACGCCTTTTTGGACATTTCACTTTCTTGCCATTTCTACTTTGTCCCTGGGCCCTGGATGATGGATGACCACACTGCTCTGATTCCCACATCTCCCCCCTTCTCCTGCTCCCCTCTGTTTGCAGAGCCATCCACATTTGCCTCTGGTCATTGTGTAAGGGGATGGGCACGTATCCTCATACAGACTTGAGCACGGGATGCCAGCTGCAGCTGGATTATCCTGGGCTTGTGCACACCACTCTTTGTGCCTCTTTCCCGTCAGAGATCTCCTGGGGCCTGCCTTTACTGAGTCCTCTTGAAAACTGAGGAGCGAGATGGAGTCCCTGCCTCTCCTCTCATCCTGAATCCCACCCCTGTGTTCTCACATGGCCTGAGGCCTTGCCTCTTGTGGCCTTCCTGAGCCCAGTCCTGCACTGCTGGCTCTACCTCACCCTGACTTGATCCTTCAGACTCATTGTGAATGTGTCAGACACACATCCCTGAAGGGGCTTCCCTCTCCCAGCAAAGGTAAGATATACCCTTCAGCAGCATTTCTATGCTTTCAGGTTGTTGGTATGGAACAGAGGAAATCCCTCCTGAACAGGGTGCTTCTGTAGGAGTGCTCCAGTTCGGGACCTCTAAGGCAAGTCCTTGCACCCAGAAAGATAACCCCTGTGACATATGTGGCCCATTCTTGAAAGACATATTACACCTGGCTGAGCACCAACGGATACATCCCAAGCAGAAACCATACAAATCTGAGGCATGTGGGAAAGGCTTAAGGCACAGTGCAAACTCTTGCCAGCACCAGAAGGAGCACAGTGGAGAGAAACTCTTCACATTCAGGGAGTGTGGCAAGGATGTCTTGGACAGTCACGACCTCCTCAAGCACCATGCTACCTACAGTGAGGGGAAGCCCCACAAGAGCACCGAGTGCAAGAAGGCCTTCCCGTCCAGCTCCAGTCACCATCAGCCATGGGGAGTCCACACTGCACAGAAACCCCTCAGGTGTGGTGGCTGTGGGAAAGCTTTCCCAAGGGCCTTTGCGCTGCTCGACCACCTGGTGACTCACTGTCAAGAGAGGCCCTTCCGGTGCCCAGCAGGTGGAAACATCTCCAAGGAGAACTCAACCCTTCTCAGTCACCCAAAAATTCACACTGGAGAAACATCCCACGTGTGTAAGGAATGTGGGAAGGCCTTTGGCCACCTGTTTAAACTAACGACGCACCAGAAAGTTCACACTGGAAAAATGCATCACAACTGCAGTGAATGTGGGAAAGCCTTCACCCGCAAACACTCACTCGTTCAGCACCAGAGAGTCCACACTGGAGAAAGGCCATATGAGTGTGGGCAGTGTGGAAAAGCCTTCACTCGCAGCTTCCATGTTGTCCGCCACCAGAAAGTGCACAACACAGAAAGGCCTTATGAGTGCCGACAGTGCCGGCGAGTCTTTAGCTGTATCTCCAACTTTGTTGAGCACCAGAAAATACACACTGGAGAAAGGCCTTATGAATGCGATGAATGTGGAAAAGCCTTCATTAACAGCTCCCATCTGATTCGGCACCAGAAAGTTCACAACACAGAAAGGCCTTTTGAGTGCAGCAAATGCGGAAAAGCCTTCCGGCAAACCTCCAAACTTATTCTCCATCAAAGGAGTCACACGGGAGAAAGACCTTATAAGTGCAACCAGTGTGGAAGAGCCTTCAGCTGCCCCTCCAACCTCATTCCGCACCAGCGAATTCACACTGGAGAGAAGCCTTATGAGTGTTCTGAATGTGGGAAAGCCTTCAGCCAAAGCTCTGCCCTCATTCAGCACCAGAAGGTTCACACCAGAGAAAGGCCTTATGAGTGCAGTGAATGCGGGAAAGCCTTCAGCTATAGTTCTAACCTTGTGAAGCACCGGAAAGTTCACACTGGAAAAAGGCCTTATGCATGCAGCCAGTGCGGGAAAGCCTTCAGCGAAAGCTCCATCCTCAGCCAGCATCAGAGAGTTCACACTGGAGAAAAACCCTATGAGTGTAGCAGATGTGGGAAAGCTTTCCGCTACAGCTCGAACCTCTCTAAGCACCAGAAGGGTCACTCTGGAAAAAAGCCTTTTGAGTGCAGTGGGCACAGAGATGCCTTCAACCAGAGCTCCAGTAGCACTGAGCACCACCGAGGTCACACCAAAGAAAGGCCTTAGGAGTGTGGCAAATGTGCAGAAACATGAGCTGGGGCTTCCTCCTTGTTCGCCATAAGAGGACTCCTGAGAAAATGTCTGTAAAAGAAAACTTTGTGAAGAAGCCATCCAGAAATGGAAATTTGCACATTCTAACACCCCTACCAGGACATTGCCTGAGTATCAGATATGTGGGAAGCTTTCAGGGGCTACATTGCACTTTCTAACCTGTCCAGGTGTTTTGCCATATTATGTCACTGCCAGACGCCATCTGACCTCTACCAGCTGGCAGGTCCCCACAGCATGTGCCTGTCACTTTAACATACTCAGGGAAAGCAGGCCTTGTGCTCTCTCATTCCCTGGAGGGAGCCATGAGTGATGGGCACCTTTTGGGGCGACCTAACGTTCCACCTTTTCACTGTCCCCAGTGGTTCAAGTTTTGTCCTGACCTAGTTCTAGGAGGACCTGGAGTCTGATGAATTCCAGAGGTTCCCCTTCTTCACATGCATTGTTGACTCTACAGATGGTGCCTATGATGGGTTTATCTATCCTTCAAACCACCCAGTCCCAGAACTGCCTGCCTCCAGAGTGTGTGATAATAAAGGCCTTATAGTTGAAGCCATCTATAATTCTGGGACTCCATTCACTGTGTGTGGGGAGAGCCTGAGAACAGACTTGGACTCTAACAGTGTAAAGAGGGGAAACGCTTTTTTGGTAGGGCCCCCAACTTCGACAGCAGGATGACAAGAAACAGCTTGCAGTCTAGTTTAACTTAATTTGCCTTGTGGCCCAAGGCATCCTGGGACAGACTGAGGTCTCTGGGCCAAATCTTGTGTCTAGAAGGCAGGACCAGCTTTTGGGCCCAGACCTTTCTGGAAATTGGGTATTTGATGTGGCAATTTCCAGTACTTCCTGGGCAGCATTCCCTTATTCCTGGGAATGTCACACATTCCCCGGTAGTGTTGACAGGCCACTGTCTGCTGGGACCTACCTATGAGTAAGGCCCCTGGAGTCCAGAATCTGTAGGTAGGTGTCACTGGATATAAGACTTACAGGGTCCAGACTGATCCATAAATGTGTGCGAAAACAGCGGGCTCGAGGTTATGGAATTGGAGACTGGCAAACGGAGGAGGTACGGCTGCCGCTGTGCCTGGGTTACATCATACCCACTCACAAGAACTGATTGTGCTTGCTCTGCATTCACTGACGACGTGGGTAGCTGGAAATCAGCCATGGTGGAGTTCATACCACAAAAATTAGCAAGCAAGCAAGCAAACAAACAAAACAAAACAAAACAAAAACAAACTCTGAGAAAACCTGATTTGCAGTGTTTGCAAAATTTGTTGACAGTGACCTTGGCCACAGGAGAGACTCAGCTCTGTAGGCTTTGGGATCCTGCACACTCTCACTTTCTCCTCCAACAAGTGTGATGCTCTTTTAGAACAGGCACAATTAGCAGTGTGCTGCTCACTGCCAGAGCAAAGAATCCAAAGGTGTTGTGGGTTCCTATAGCTACCTTGGGTTGTTCACTTCAAGGCATCTCTGCACAGGCAGGAACTAGGGACTGAGAGAAGAGATCCAGTATTCCAGGTGAGCGTGGTGGCCATGGCCCTAACCATCTGCTGGTTTTTGCTGCCAATGAGGCAGGGCTGTCCCTGGATACAAGGGTGAGAGTTGGTAGAATCAGCATATTGTTGTTTTCCCATTTTCTGGTTTTCCTAGAGGAATGAGAGATCTGAATTTTTATGTGTAGACTCTTGATTTTATAAATGTTGAAAACTACTTTCTAAAAACTTTTATACAAAGTCTATATATATATATACTGCATATGTGTTCCTCAGTCAGCACTTGTGACTCTCAGAAAATAAGCAAACCAGGCTATAGGGAGCCCACGGGTCCCCACACATGAAGGCCCTGGGCCCTCAGAATTTTGCCCCACAGCACGTAGCATGGGTAGTGGCACTGCTGCTGCCACTGCACTCGGGATGACTCTCTTCACCCCCCACTTCCCTGAAGGTGACCACATAAGAGATGGCATCCCAGACAAGCTTGTGCTCAGCCAAGCACGTGGCAAGTCGGCCTAAGCTCTCCCCAGCATCCCAAGGAATCAGCACACCCCTTGGACTCAGACCATCCCTTCTGGGTGTAATAATTGTCTTCTAGCAACATTGGGGGCTTGGGATCAGAGTAAAAATCCAGTAGAACCTTAGGGCCTCAGGCCTCCAAGCAAAGGATAGGCATGGATCTCAAGAGCGCAATTCCTTGTACCCGTGTGGTCAGCCATGGTTGGATACACATAACACTGCCCGCTGTGCAAGGGTGATGTCTTTTATCTGCCTTCCAGGGCTCTGTGCACCTCAGCCAACTTAGTAGAGCCTTAGTAGTTCCTCAGTGATGCCAGAACAAACCAAACAAAGGACCAGGTTCTCAAGAACTATTTAAAGATACGTATCAGCTAAGGGCATGTTAAGAGGAGGACAGGCCAGTCGTGGAGGACCCAGCCATAGAGGGTGGATGGAGAAAGGTTGAGAGAAAAAGGCATGGCTACTCACTTTGGTGCCAGGGCAACAGAGGGTACAGGTCAGGTACCAGATGAGACAGCAGCCCACTGCCACAGGCCCTCTCAAAATTTTCTTGCACTCACCAGGACTGGTGCTCCAAAGGCCACTCTGGTTATTTCCTGATTTGAGCTGCTTGTCCACCAGCCAAATCTTGCAGTGTTCATGTTGGGTGACTGCATTGTGGGGGTGGGGGATGGGGGTTGGAGGCAGTAATTCTCCCAGGGGATGAAGTGGTTTGGGAGAGGTTAGTCCCAGGTTAGGGTGATATGCCCCATGACAGACCAGGGTGCATGTGTCACCTCCACTCAGAGGTCTCCAGACAATTCAGACTCTACACTCACAAATCCAACTGCTAATCTTCCCCCAAAAGTCCTCCTCCTGCCAACCTCCGATGTCTACAGGCAGGACCCCATTCTTCCTAAACACTTTGGATGGTCTTTCATCTCTAACTTACATTCACTCCCCCTGTGTAGCAGGAAATCCCATCGACTCCATTTTGAAAAATCTATCATTTTTCTGATCATTTCTTCTGATCATTTCTTCTACCACTCCTGCTTCTATCCTGGACAGGCCACCGTTATAACCGTCCTGAAGAATACTGCAGCAGCGTCCTCATGAATCTCTTTGCTCTCGCCCCCGCCCCCCACAAAGCCTCTCCTCACAGTGTGTTCACTCAGTATCCGTTGGGATACTTGCAAAATCCTAACTCAGGCCATCCTTCTATTCGACATCTTCTACTCAGCCAGCCAACAGAGGCGGTGCCTCTCTCCTCACACTCTCGGGTCCCTGCAGTGGGGACAGACTCTCAGGTCAGCCTCACCACTGAGTCACTGCACATGCACATCTGCCTGCACCCTCCAAATCTTACCGCACTGGATTCTGAAACAAAGACTTGTGAAAGCTTCGCCGTCCTGATTGCTGAGGCCTGGGGCTCAGTGGGCGAACTCAGGACACAGGGGCTCGGAGTCCAGCGGGGTGGGGCCAGGAGAGCCTTCCTCACAGGTGTCTAGTGGATCCGCTTACTTGTCACGCCCGCAGTCCAGCCACATGCTGGGTCCTGACGGTCGGCTGTTGAGCCTCCGTCTCCCGCTACATACAGCACACGGCATGCCAAGGGCACCGGCAGGCTTTCACGGAGGCCCTGACGGACGCCCCCGCGCGATGCGGCCCGAGGGCCCAGGGCCGCCCTACGGCCGGGGTCTCCCCGCTTCGCGGAGGCCCGACATTCGCTGCGGTCACGGCGGGTACAGGGCACTAAGGTGGGACCTCCAGACTCTCGTGCCTTCTCCGCTCCTGCTTCCTCTGCGCCATCCACAGCCCGGCACTAGGTCCGTCAGCCCTCTGCGGACATAAGCCGCAGAAGCCAAAGCAACTGTCGGACACTGAAAGTCCCGCCCCCGCCGACCGGGCCGTACCGAAACACCCCGCCCCTAGGCTATCATTGGTCAGAGTCCCTAAGGCCCGCCCAGAAATCACCTTCTCCGGGGCTATCATTGGCCAGCACTGGTGCAGCAACACAACGAGGGGCTTTCTGGGTAATGCAGTTCGCGTCTGGGAAAAGTGACGCGACGTCGATTTTTCCTGGTCACCTAGACAACGACCAAGCGGCACCGCGATTGGCTCAGGGAAACGGTGTCCTAGTCCGCGATGGGCTTTGATCCAATCCGGCTCCGAGTGGGGGCGAGCAGAGGATGGGGCGGTCCTGCCGTTGGCGCCATTACTGTCTTCCTTTTGCCGGGGTGGGCATCACCGCAGGCGGCCACCGCTGGGACCCGAGGAGAAAGGGACGGGGAAGCGCCTGGATACTCTCCGCACCTCTGCTCGCACTTTCACCCGTGGATAACAGTTCATCCTGCCTGACCCTAGGTTTTCCCGGATGTGGAAGCGACGAATCGAGTATCCGCCCTGAGTGCCACCGTTAGCTCGCAGTCCTGCCGCCTAGTGGGGGATTGTGGTTTAGATGATCCCGAAGGTTCCGACCGTCCGACACCGTCGCTGATGGACCCTCCGCAGGTGAGTGGAGGTACCTCGGACCCTCCCCCGCGGGATCCTCGCCCTCACGATCCTGGAGCCCCGGTTTAGGGAATGCCGGTGTCCTGGACCCTCGCCTGCACACGAGTCTGGGGTTGTCACTTTCTGTGGCAGTGGGCAGTGGTCACTTTCAGTCTCTCCTGATTGTCACTTTCTCCTAACATCCTAAATCCAGGCCAGAGGTTATATGGAGGGGGTTCATGTTTCTGAAATCCTATGGGATAAGGTCTGGAGGGGTGCCAGGCACAGGGACCAGCATTTGCAAACTGCATGCAGGTGATTATAAGGCAGACGTGTTCAAGAAACTGCAGGTCTCCATTCTGTCTGTTGAAAATAGAGGAGGTGGACCAGGTTCAGGCCTAGGATGGCAGACTGAGGGGCCCGACCTCTATTCAGAGTGTGATGAGAGTCATGGATAGCATAGAGCAGAGGAGGGAGGTGATCTGACTCAGGTCTTAATAGGCTTCCCCTGGATGCTGGGTGGAGAACAGACCGGAGGTGGTGGTGATGGTGATGGGCTTGGAAGCAGGAAGACCATCATGGAGGCGACTGCAGTAGTTCAGACGTGTGCTTTCAGTGGCTGGACCAGAAAGCCTGTGAGGGTAGGAGAGATGGTTGTCTCCTGGATCTGCTTTTTAAGTAGGGTGGGCTAGATTTCCTGATGTGGGGCAGGGAGGTATGTGGGTCTACCCTGACAGGTTTTCCAGATGTGGAAGTTGGTGTGAGGAGTAGACTCCAGAAGGAAGTTAAAGAGTTGAGTTTTGACCATATTGTATTTGAGATGTCCCAGAGGCTGCCACATTGAAGTGTCGAGTGTGCCTCATGCCAGATCCAGGTTGGAGACGGACGGGTTGAGGCTTGTGTGTGGACACTGTGCAGCCGTGTGTTGGGTTCAGGATAGTGACCAAGCTTCTGAGCAGAGAGTAGACCTGGGGTAATAAAGTGAAGCATAGATGCAACAGAGCTAGGATGACAGTGGGGCTTGTTGGATTAGTTTACCTCTCTACAGCTCATCAGGTTGAGGGCCTGAGGATTTTGTCAGTCTGGTGGAGTGGCAGAGGCAGAGTCTGGCTGAGCTTAGTCCCCAAGCCAAGGATGGGGGCCAGTGTTCTGGGATTTGTATATTAGGAAGAGCAAGCACAGCTAGGACCGGTCAGGGGACAGCATGTACAGGGGCAGAGATGGCAGAGAGTGGGGATGTTTGAGATCTGCTCATGGTTCCAGGGAGCTGAGGTTTGAAGCAACTAGGCAAGGAGGGGAGGTGTTCACTAAATGTGATGGCTGTCCCTGGAAGTGGGGGTTTTGGAGATCTGGGGCAGGCCAGGGTCAGTATTGGATCCCCGTTCTTTCCAGGTATGCCATGTGCATAGTGGGATATGGGGATTCTAGGGAGACGCCCATGGTGTGGCTCAAGGGTGAGGGTTGCGGTGGACATATGAAGATGGCATGGTACACAGAGTGACGTGTACACGGTAAGAGAATGTGAACCGGTTGTCTTTCCATGTATGCCATATGGATAGTGGGATATGGGGATTCTAGGGAGATGCCCATGGTGTGGCTCAGGGGTGAGGGTGGCAGTGGACATACGAGTGACATACAGAGTGACGTGTACACGGTAAGAGAATGTGAACCAATGGGCCCTGGTCCCAGCAGCTGAAGGTACAAAGGAGAGCCCCAATGTTCTCATATCTGGGGACACAAGGGAAATTGGCCAGTGCCAGTTTAAGGGGTCTGTATTCCAGCTCAGAGCTCAGATACCCTCTATCTGCCCACCTGCCTTTCATTCCTCTAGGTTGGATTGGCCTGGATACAGTGACCAGTGGGACTACAAGGGGAGAGGGACACCAGTGGTGTCAGGACCTGTTATGTGCTCTGAGGTGGGGGCCTGAGGAGTATGAGTTACAGGTGGGTGAGGGGAGGGTGGACTGAGGGGTTTACGAGAAGAGGAGATTCCAGTGGTAGATGTGGCAGAACTCAGTCACAGGTCAAATGCCTAGATGTACCCATTTGACTATTTTGTTTGTTTTTCAGCTCACGTGTTAGCACCCTGGCTCAGCTGTCTTATCATTGCAGAGTCCAGTGACACTTGAGGATGTGGCGGTATGCTTTTCCCAGGAGGAGTGGGGGCTCCTTGATATAGCCCAGAGGCACCTATACCATGATGTGATGCTGGAAATCTTTGAGCTCATGATCTCACTTGGTAAGACACTTATGCTCTGTCCCACCATGGTGACCAGTTTTTGCCCAGTGCCTTTTCCCTGTAGAAAGTTCTATTTGTCCCAAAGCCAGACCATGGCTACTGTTTCTTTCCTAGGTTTCTTGTTGTCAGTGCTGTGGGTGTTGGGACTGGGCTGTGTACACTCCCCCGTCTCTCCCTGAGCAGCCTCATGAGCAATCCTAATAGCTGTTGCCCAGGGTCCTTCTTGGGAATGGAGGCTGGGGATCAGGCATCTCCAGCCTGCCCAGTGGACCCCACCGAGCTTGACCCAGTGTGGGGCCATGCCCAGGTTCTGCCCTTTCCCCAATGAGGCATTTTTAAAGGCATCTTTATTGAGAATATACCGTAAAGTTCATTCTTGTAAAGTATGTTTACACAGTTGTATAAATATCAAAATTTAATTTTAGAACATTTTTATCACCTAAAGGGAAACTTCGTACCCATTGTCAGCCATTCCCCATCCTCCCTCCTCCTCCCTGTCATGGGCAGCCTGCTTTCTGACTATATAGACTTGCTTATTCTGAACATTTCACATCAATAGAATCACACAATGTATGTTTTTCTGTGTCAGGGTTGCACTTTGCATAATGTTTTTAAGGTTCATCCATATTGTAGCACATACCAGTGCTTCATTCCTTTTTATGGTTGAAAAATACTTCATTGTGCGCATACACCACAGTTTGTTTATCTGTTTGTTAGTTGGCGGACGGTAGCTTGTTTCTTCCACATTTTGGCTATTATGAAAAATTCTGCTATGAAATACAAGTTTTTGTGTGGCTATGTTTTCACTTCTCCAGGGTAGATACATAGGAGTGGAATGGCTAAACTCTTTTAAACTGGCACCACCATTTTACGTTCTCACTGCAGAGTATGAGCGTTCGTTTCCCAACTTCCTCAACATGTGTTGGGTCTTTTTTCTCATCGCCATCCTCGTGTGTGTGAAGTGGTATCTCATTGTGCTTTTTATTTGCATTTGTCTAACAACTAATGATGTTGAACATCTTTTCACGTGCTTATTGACCAGTTGTATGTGTATGTGTCATTTTGTTGAGAAATATTTATTCAAGTCCTTTCCCCATCTCTGCCCTTGCCTCTGGTGAGGCCTCCTGTGTTCTGTGATTTGACTGTGCATTGTCCTGCACAGCGGGCTTTTCACTCTTATTTTGGCTCCCTTGGCATGTCAGCAATCCCTTGGACCCATTTCTATATGTGTTAGTCACATTTCTGATGAAGTCACTTTTTCCACCAAGTGGAACTCGGTTAACTGGACATTTTTCTGCTTTCAGATTGTTGGCATGGAGTGGAAGATGAGGGGGCCTGTTCTGAGCAGAATGCTTCTGTAGAAGGGGTGTCACAGGTCAGGATCCTCAGTGCACATCCTTCCACCCAGAAGACTGACACCTGCGACATGTGCAGCCCATTATTGAAAGACATTTTGTACCTAGATGAGCATCAAGGAACATACCCTAATGTGAACCCCTACACATGTGGAGCATGTGGAAGAGGGTTCTGGTTCAGTGCACACCTTGCCCAGCACCAGAAGGAACACATTGGAGAGGAACCTTTCAGATGGGACAAAGACAGGGACTCATTTTTGAAGACCTCTGTAGTCTGCTTGTCAGAGAAGCCCTTCGCTTGCATGAAAGGTGGTAAGCATGTCTCAGATAGTCATGACCTCCTCCAGCACCTGACCATCAACAGCGGTGGGAAGCCACATGGGAGCAAAGAATGCAGGGAGCCCTTCCCACCCAGTTCTAATCTTGAGCAGCTCTTCACATGCAGTGACTGTGGCAGAGACTTCAGGAACAGCTCCGTCCTCCTCACACACCTGAGAACTAACTCTGAAGAGGTTCCATTTAGATGCCTAAGAGTTGGAAATTCCTTAGAGGAGAAATCAACTCTTGTTAATTACCAAAAATCTCACCCTGTAGATACATCTCACGTATGTCAGGATTGTGGGAAGGCCTTTAGTCACCCATCTAAACCGAGGAAACACCCAAAATTTCACACTGGAGTAAAATACTACGAGTGTAGCGACTGCGGGAAAACCTTCAGCCACAACCTCACACTTGTTCATCACCAGAGAATCCACACTGGAGAAAAGCCTTATGAGTGCAGCGAATGTGGGAAGGCTTTCAATAACAGGTCACACCTCACTCGGCATGAGAAAGTCCACACTGGAGAACGGCCTTTTGAGTGTAGCAAATGTGGAAGGGCCTTCAGCCAGAGTTCCAATTTCCTTCGGCATCAGAAGGTTCACACCCAAGTAAGACCATATGAGTGCAGTCAGTGTGGAAAAGCCTTCAGCCGCAGCTCCACTCTCATCCAGCACTGGAGAGTCCACACTGGAGAAAGGCCTTTTGAGTGCAGCGAGTGTGGGAGAACTTTTAACAATAACTCCAACCTTGCTCAGCACCAGAAAGTCCACACTGGAGAACGGCCTTTTGAGTGTAGTGACTGTGGAAGAGACTTCAGCCAAAGCTCCCACCTCCTTCGACATCAGAAAGTTCACACAGGAGAACGGCCTTTTGAATGCAGTGACTGTGGGAAATGTTTTAGCAATAGCTCCACCCTCATTCAGCACCAGAAGGTACACACCGGGCAGAGGCCTTACGAGTGCAGCGAATGCGGGAAAGCTTTCAGTCGCAGCTCCAGCCTCATTCAGCACTGGAGGGTTCACACTGGAGAACGGCCTTATGACTGCAGTGAGTGTGGGAAATCCTTTGCTCACAGTTCCAGTCTTATCGAGCACTGGAGAGTTCACACAAGGGAAAGGCCTTATGAATGCAATGAATGTGGGAAATTCTTTAGACAAAACTCCATTCTCATTAAACATCAGAAGGTTCACACTGGAGAAAGGCCTTATGAGTGCAGCGAATGTGGGAAGCTCTTTAGCCGAAAGTCCAGCCTCGTCTATCACTGGAGAGTTCACACTGGAGAAAGGCCTTATGAGTGCAGTGAGTGCGGGAGAGCCTTCATCAATAACTCTCACCTGGTTCGTCACCAGAGAGTCCACACACAAGAAAGGCCCTACGAGTGTAGCCAATGCGGGAAAGCTTTCAGTGAAAGGTCTACACTTATTCGACACCAGATAGTTCACACCAGAGAAAGGACTTATGAGTGTGGCCACTGTGGGAAAATCTTCAGTCGCCTCTGCAACCTTGCTCAGCATAAAAGGATTCATACCTGAGAGGAGCCTGATGGAAATTGTCTTCGTGAGAAAATTTCCAGCCAAGTCAAACTTCATACAGCAGAATTCCCAGAGAAAATACCTGCATGTACCAGTGGTGTGGAAAAAGCCTTCAGAAGCTACTCTGCCTTTTCTGAGCAGCCCAGGAACTTGGGTAGGCCTGTCTCCCTGCCCTGCCCACCCCCCCAAAAGCATACTCCTCCTGGATCCAAATATTTGCAGTGGTTGTCTGCCTCTGCATGCAAAACACTCCGTGTGCCTCCTTCCCCTTTCCTGGAGGGAATCAGGACTGTCCTGGCCTGTTGGAATGGTTCCATTCTCATTGTCTTTGAGAGGCTTAGGGAATGACCTGACCCCACGCTGGTTGAGAGCCCTTGAGGGATGTCCAGTTTGGGCTTCTTAGGAAGACGGACGGATGCTATTAAGTTGAAAATGTTCCCAATAGTTCTAGTGTTTTTATTCTGGTGTTAATATTCATAACTGTCACCGTGAAGACCAAGTTCTTCATATGCCAGTCACAAAGCATCAGTTTGCTTTGTTACATAATGTTATGTGCTGCAGCACTAACCCCATATATGATGGTAATGCCAGGCTTAGATGAGGTCAAGAGGGCAAGGCCCCTGTGGTGCGATTAGTGTCCTTGTAAGAAGTGAGAGACCAGGGCTTCCTCCCTCCTCTCCCTGTGGAGACGGCAATAGGATGGCCGTCTACAAGTCAGGGAGAGAGCTTTCACCCAGGAACCTGGATTGAAAGTGGCTGGCACCTGGACCGTGGACTTCCCAGCCTCTAGAACTGTGTGAAATTTCTGTTTAAGCTGCCCAGCCTATGGCATTTTGTTATAGCGGCTGGAACAGGCTGAGACACCAAGAGGTGAGGAAGGTCCCCCTCCCCTCCCACGGGCATCTACAGAGCAAAATGGTGTTGGTCTCATTGACTAGTTTAGTCTTATTAGACAGTATCGAACTGAGAATAGTGAGACTTTCAACCCACTGTCCTGCTTAATATGGAGACATCCACGTTTGTTCATAACTGTTCCCAAATTGTTTTGTTTACATGACTAAATAAATGGACACTGCCATGCTGACATGGGGTCCAAGCATGTCACACACCGCAGTGAAAATATAAGCACTTTGCATCTGTAGATGAACCTGAAAAGGCAAGAAACATGCCATCACTAGTCCCTGGTATCAAGCCTTGTGCCCCTTAATTTCATGCCCATGAATACAAATAGCTGAGGGCTGGTATCCGACCTGACATAAAAGCATGGAGGAAACAAAGAAGAGAAAATTCCAAATGGGATAGTGAGGGGACTCATGAAGAGGGGACGTCTCAGCGTACTTGTTGAAGGGAAGCTACTGGGAGAGGCAGAGAGAAAGGGGGGGTGTGTGTGGTTAATTCCTGAAAGGCTGAGGGCTGTCCAGAGAGCTGCTGGCTGGGGAGTGGACAGTCCCCAGGCAGCTAGGGCGGGCTGTGGCTGCTGGTGCTGGCTTGCCAGGCGACGTTTGGGTTAAAGTGATGGAATGAGAGTCCCATCCGGACTGGTACCTTGAGCAAGTCAAAGAGTCAGAGCCACCAGGCTTTGTTCTAGATGTCCCAGCAGCGCCAGAAAGCTCTGCCTGCCATCCGCTTCCCAACAGGTTGACTGCTAGGCATGGAACCCCAGCAGGAGACCAGAAGGCGGGTTCAGGGCAAGTGCAGCCTTCACCCATGTGCTGGGGGCTGTCCTATGTGATCTAGCCAAGGCCACCCACACAGGATACAAAGAGCTGAGCTCCAGTGCCCAAGGTCTGCCTGCCCTTATTTACTTGGAGATCTGAACCTTGCCTGGCTGAGCTGGACTTTTAACTCTACCCCACACAGACTGCCACATGGCAGGCAGACATTACACCAGGGAGGATGGCCTGAGCAGGCCTGGAGGTGGGTAAACACTTTACAGTGTTGGGGGAAAACTGAGCAGACTGACCAAAAACTGCTGACTGCAAGCCTGCCTGCGGTTCTGCCTCGTGTGGTCCTCAACATTCCTGCCATCAGGAGGCTGGGCCAGAAGAATCACCCCAGTCAGAGGAGGTAGCAGTGGTTTGCAGCCCCACACGTGGTACTGGCTGAACGCTGTGGCCCAAAGCCCCCCCGAGTCTGGGATCTCCCGCTCTCCAAACATGCCCCCGCCTCCCCTAACATCATCCAGCTAATGTCCTGACAGGAGGCAGCTTCAGGACCAGGGACAGCTACAGCCAACACGCAAGATTTACTAAACTGACATTTTATTTACCTTTCGGAAAAAAATTGTTTCCAAAAATTGTTTCCAACGTTTTCTAAATCAGAAGGCCCTAGAAACCAAATCTGGATCCATATGTTGATTCAGCCACTTCTCTCCCTTGAGTCCAGGGACAGTGGCAGCAAAAACAGTGAAGGCCATGGTGTGTGGACATCAGGAACACTGGCCAGGTCACAGAAGCCACACCCCTGGACTAAAGGATCTTTCTTGGCCATGAGTGACCAGGCCCCAGAAAGCAGAGGATCAGAGGACCTGCAGACGATCTGCTGACAGGGTCCTTGGCCACAAGGAACAGGTCGGTGATTCTCGAGAAGTCCTGCAACGCTCTCCCACAAAACCTCAGCTGCTGGCATGTTTGCAGGTGCCTCTGTAGCAGCAGCTCAGACTCCTGGTGCACGACGCCCCACTCCTTATCTCTTCACTCAGTATTTCTGTCCCCAGCTACTTTCCAACAGGCCCCTGTGGGTCTCACGGTCAGTCCGGAACATACCTCGATGTTACAGATTTCAGAGACCATGGTTTTTGAGCTGACTGACCAATGCTGGAGGCTGAAGAACATCCTCTGGGAACAAGGGCCCAGCTCACGGTGTCCCTAGACATGGAGATTTTCATCTACTCTCTCGTTCTTCCGTGTGAGTTTAGAACCAGAAATAAAGCTCACGTCTAGGCTGCACAATTCACCCACAGAGCCCTTCACGCTCTCCCTAGCGGTTTCGCCCCAATGCAAATTAGGCTGTCCTTGACTGGGGCTGTTTCCTGCCACCCTGCTGTCCCCACTAAGGCAGACAAAAGTCAGGCACACGCATAGAAGCTATTCCGTCTACTCAGTTCAATTTTGTTTCCTATCCCCCACACAGGGATCAGAAACCCTGGTATTGGAGCAGTTTAAACAAGGCCTTTATAGCTGGGCAGTGCAGAGCAGTTTGGGACAGTTCCGGCGCTGGACAAAACCATGACAGGCGCCACGTGTAGTGTCAACAGCATCCATGAAAATCGTTAAGCCTCCCTGGACGCCCCCAGTGGACACTGCTCAGCTAGTCCTGGCCAGAGCAAGGTCCTGTCCTCAGCTGACCGGTCAGGAGGGGACGAGCCTGGCATGGGCCCACCACTCGATTCTGTCCTCCACAGAGTGGGGAGCAGGGAGGCCTTCTGGCCCTGAGCGCCCTGGGAAGACGGGTGCACGTCGCGGGGACCTGCCAGCTGGAAGACACGGGATGTCTTCTGTCACAGCCGGGGCAAGTCAGAGCACAGCACAGCTCCCACAAGCAACCCACACGCCGGCCCCCCCGCCAGCATGAGTGTTGGGGTGCGGCCCTGTGCAGCCTCAGAGAGGCCCTCGTGCTGCACCGGGTGCTGGCGTGGGTGAAGGCCTCCCCGGGCCCCGGCCCGTGGCCGCAGTGGCGGCGTGGACCTTCGCGTGCTGCAGGAGGGTGGAGCTGTGCTTAAAGGCCTTGCCGCACGCGGCGCACGCGTGGGGCCTGTCCTCGGTGTGGAAGCGCTGGTGCCGGTTGCGGTAGGACCTGGTGGTGAAGGCCTTCCCGCAGCGGCTGCAGGCGTAGGGCCGCTCCCCGGTGTGCGCCTTGCGGTGCTGGTAGAGGCCGGAGCGGGTCACGTAGGCCCTCCCGCACTGCTCGCACGCGTACGGCCGCTCCCCGGTGTGCACCCGCCGGTGCAGGACGGAGCTGTGGCTGTACTTGAAGGCCTTCCCGCACTCCCGGCACGCAAACGGCCGCTCCCCGACGTGCACCCGCCGGTGCCGGATGAGGGTGGACAGCACGCTGAAGGCCCGGCCACACTCGCCACAGGCGTGCGGCCGCTCGCCCGTGTGCACTCGCCGGTGCAGGGCGAGCGCGTCCTTGCGGTTGAAGGTCTTCCCGCACTCGCCGCATTCAAAAGGCTTGACGCCTGTGTGCACCTTCTGGTGCTTCCTCAGCTTAGACGGGTAGCTGAAGGCGCGCCCACAGTCTGTGCACACGTGCGGCGCCGCCGGCCTGGGGCCTCCCTGGTGACCGACAAGGGCCGAGTGCTCCTTGGGGGCACGTGCACCCGCGGGGCACCGGAGGGTCCTCTCTGCACAGCGAGTCACCAGGTGGTCGAGCAGCGCGAAAGCCCTCTGGAAGGCGGCCCCGCAGCTGCCGCACCTGAGGGGCTCCTGTGCGGCACCCGCGCCCCGTGGCTGCTGGCGACAGGAGCCAGGCCAGAAGGCCGCCTTGCGCTCCTGGCTCCCGCGTGGCTTCCCCTTGCCATGGGTGGCCCAGTGCTGCAGGTGGCCTAGCATGGCAGGGATGTCCTTCCCAGACTCCCCACACAGCAGGTGCTTCTCTGACAGAGGCACTCCGCAGCTCTTCACCTGCTGGGGAGGGGCTTCCTCGGTGGTCCGTCTAGGCAGACAACCTGAAGTGGAGCCAAGACAGTTACCTGGAGCCAGACCAGAGGGAGGAGACGCCTTCCCCACTACTGTCTGTCAGACACCCCAGAAGGAGGCCGTGGAACTGCTAGGAGGCGTCTGGGGAAGGTCTGGGCGAGAAAGGGCTGGCCTGGCACATCAGGGCCCTGCCAGAACAGACTAGGGAGGACCTCGGCGGGGACGAGGACACAAAGACCGGAGCGGTGCCAGGAGAGGTGGGGCCTCTCGGTCACTCCTCTGTAACGGGCTTCAAGCAGGGACTTAGCTGCTGACAACGGTGACTACTAGGAAGAGGCTACATCACGGCACAGATGGCAAGACCACACGGCATGCCCAGAAGGGAGAGGGAAGGTGGGAATGAGGTGCGGCCACTGGCCTCAGCAGCGAAATGCCAGTGCACAGACACCCAGAGGGCTGGTGAGCCCACCACTGAAACCAAGGCATCCCCCAGCCCCACTCACCAAGACCGGAACCCCTCCCAGCCTCTGCTCTGCTGACCAGAGTCATGTCCACTATACTGGGCACCCAGGGCTCTTCTTCACCCTCCAGCTGGGCAACCACATGGGCCCTTGAAGGTGCAAATCCTAGAAGGGAGAAATATAAGAGGCCAGCCCGAGCCGAGGCTGACCCAGCCCACCACATGCACAGGAAGCTTGTGTCGTCATGGCAAAAAGATGGAAACTGAGTATTAGGAATCAGGCCTCCTCTGCTCACTTAAATACTTGTTGAGAGGATAGAGCTCATGTTGTGTTTTACCACAATTGTTTAACAAAGAATCTTCATGAAGCGAAATCGACATAGCCGAAATAAGAAAAAAACAATCATAGTTGGAGACGTCAATTTCTAACTTTCAATATTGGATAGAACCACCGGGCAGAAAATGAACAAGGATGTAGCACTCGAATAACACTAAAACTCAACTAGACCTAATAGACGGCCATAGAACATGCCACCTAACGACAGCGGATAGATACACAGTCTGCTCACACTCTCACATGCACCGGAGCGGTCTCCAGAACAGACTGTCTGCCGGGATGTCTGAAATCCACTGAGGGCATACGAAGTATGTTCTCTGACTACCAAGGAATTAAAATAGGAAGCAACGACAGAAAAGAAAGTTGGGAAACTCACAAATGTATGGACTTTAAATAAGACACTCCTAAACATCCACAAAAAAAATTATGAACACTTCGAGATACATGAAAATGAAAACACATCAGACAAAAGTAAAAAGCACTGTTTAGAGGCAAAATGATAGCTACAAACACCTCCATGCTGTTTTACTCAAAACACCCCTGACACCAAACATGCGGGGAGTTTTCTCACTATTTCTCCAACTCTTTGACATCAACCGGCCGTCCAAGGATTCAATTCCATCCCGACACTAACTACTCATTATTAGTGTCTGACCGCACAGGTTCAGAGCTCAGTCCCACAAGACTGCCCCACTTCCGACACCAATAGAAAGTCCCAGGCCTCTCGTACTTCGGACCAACGAGCTGTAAGTCAGGGATTCCCACAATTATTGATCCCTCCTCAGGTTCAATAATTTGCTAGAACTCGGGCTCATAGAACTGAGGAAAAGATTTAACTTAGATGACCAGTTTATTATAAAGGATATGACTCAGGAACAACCCAAAGGAAGACGTGCAAAGGGCAGGGTGTGCCGGGTGGGAGTTGAGGATGTAGGGGGTAAGGAGCATCCACGCCCTCCGGTGGGGCCACTCTGCCAGCACCTCGATGTGTTCACCAATCCAGAAGCTCTCCAAATATCGTTCAGAAGTTTTTATGGAGGTTTCTCTACAGAGGCGTGATTGATCAAATCATTGGTTGTTGGTGATTGACTCAATCCCCAGCCCCTTCCCTCTCTGGTGGGAGGTGGTTAGAGGGTGGTAAGGGGTGGCTGAAAGTCCAACCCTCCCATCACAGCTTGGTCTTTCTGGTGACCAGCCCACATCATGAAGCCATCTAGAGGGTCCCAGCCACCAGTCATCCCATTAGCACAGAAAAGACACTCTCATCACTCCAGAGATTCCAAGGGCGTTAGGAGCTGTGTTCCAGGAACTGGAAACAAAGTAAAAATGTAAATATGTTTCTTATTTTTTCACTACACCAATATTAAAAAAGATTGCAAACCAATAACCAAACTTTATACCTCAAGGAACAGGAAACAAAAGCAGCTAAATTCAAATCTAGCAAAAGGAAGGAGATAACAAAGAACAGAGAAAAATGAAATAGAGATCGAAAAAACAGAATCAATGAAACCAAAATCTGGTTTTTTGAAAAGATCAACAAAATTGACACACTGTTCGACTGACAAGAAAAAAATAGAAGACTCGATTTATTATAAACAGGAATAAAAAAGGGGACATCACTAACAACCTTACAAGGCCGGAAAGGACTTGAGGAAAAATTACAAACAACCGTACAGCCACATGTTAGATAATGGGTAAAATGGACAAACTATCAACACTGACTCAAGGAGAAACAGAAAATTTAAATACACTTTAAGAAAAAAAGAAAAATGTTGCCCCCACAGGGGAAAATAACGTCTAGGCCCAGATGGCTTCACCGGTGAATATTAACACTGAAATAAGAATTAACACCATTCTTATTTCATTCTAGAAAACGGAAGAAAAGGAAACATTTCCCAACTCATCCACTGAAGCCAAAATTAGCCTCATACTCGATCCAAACAAAGACATTACGAGAACATAAAACGTCATCATTGATAACTCTCATGAATACAGATGCAAAACTCAACAAAATTCTAGCTAACCGAATGCAGAAATATGTAGCAAGGATCGAAACCACGAGAGTGGGATTCATCCTAGTTGTGCAAGGTTGAACGTATGAAAATCAATTACTGTGGTACACCATGTTAACAGAACAGAGGACAGAAATCACACAATCATTTCCATATACATGGGAAAGCATGAGACACAATCTAATGACCTTTCATGGAAAACGCATTCAACCAACTAGGAAGAGAAGGGAATTTCCTCACCTGAAAAGGGCATCTGCAAAAAACCGACAGCTAACATCATACTTGCTAGTGAGAGACTGAATGCTTTTCTCATAAGATTGGGAACAAGATAAGGATGTTTACTCTTACCAACTCAATTCAATAAAGTACTGGAGGTTCTAGCCAGGTCGATTAGGCAAAAGAGGAAGTAAAAATAGTTGTAGATGATATGATATTACTATATGGATAATACCAAGGAATCCACTAAAAAAAAAAAAACTATTAGAACTAGAAAATGAGTATGGCAAGGTTGCAGGACACGAGATCAGTATGCAAAAATCAATATTTCTATACACTAGCAATAAACAATCTAAAAATGAAATTAACAATTCCACTAAAAACAGCATCAAAGAATAAAATCCTTAAGTATAAATTTTAGCCTAGTACACTGAAAACTACCACAAACTGTTGTAAAAATGATAGAACTGCTAAACATGTGGGAAGACATCTCATATTCATAGACTGAATGATATTAAGATGGCAGTACTCCCCAAATTGATCTACTGATTTGAATTCACAGCTCAAGCCTGGCCCAGGGAGGGCCCTATACAATTTCTTTTGGAGGAAGAGGGCAAACCCAGAGCACAGAGGGACCATGTCCTCATCAGAGTCACAGGGCCAGGAAGGGGCAGAACTGGTGGGATTTGTTGGGAAAACTGTAAACATCTGAACCTCAAACCTTACCCCAGATAGCTGCAGGGCGTTGAGGATGGTAACAGGGCTGTTCAGAGAGGCGGAGAAGAGCACACAGCCCAGTCTGGTACTCACAGCACCAAACACAGGGAACCCAGGAAGAAAGCAGCCTCTGTGGTGGGGCTTTAGGATGTACAGAACTTCCCACGGCGACAAGGCAGAGGCGGTCAGTCTGTTGGAGAGTGACACCTACCCAGCGAGATGATGAGTGCGAAGTTCTCCAGCATCACATCACGGTACAGGCACCTCTGGGTCGAATTTAGGAGACTCCACTCCTCCCGGGAGAAATACACAGCCACATCCTCAAAGGTCACTGGGTCCTGTGATGATGGATTCAGCTGAGCCTTGGGGTCAAAGGTGAGCAGAAAAGCCAACTAAAATTTAAGTAGAGAAACACATCCAGGCCCTTGACCCACTGACATCTTTCCCTGTGGGCCTCACCTCACCCCGATCTCACACATGCCTTCATACCTCCGCCCCTACCTAAGACCCCACCTCAGAGGATGACCAGGGCCTCCAATACCGCTAGTGCCTGTCTTCTGTTACTACTGGATGCTGCATCCAGCCACAACGACGGGGCTGGTGACCAGACAGATACCTTCCATGTACCTGGCCAGGCACACAGGCCCCACCTGATCTCCTGCTGGGCCTTCCCTCTCAGGCACAAGGACCTGGTCCCAGGGCCCTTCGGTTTGTCTTTCTGCCCACCAGACACGTTGACCCTTTATACCACAGCACGTGAGAACGCCACATCCCCGGCACAACTTCACCAGTTCGCCCCACTGGCAACTCACTGAACTCCCCACACGCCGGTTCTGCACATGGTGTCTCTGGTGACACTACGGAGAGCACCCACGATTCCATCCTGCCCCAGGTTAGACCCGCACCTCCACGGCCTCCGCCAGCTCTGCACTGAACCCTTCAACCGGACCCGTTCCCGGCGTCAACTCTCGGCCACCCTCCACAGACCTTTGCACGGCTGTCCCCTCCCCTGCCACAGCCTTTTTCACTCCTGGGCTCACTCAGAACCTGGCCCCTTTCCATTCACCTGCGTCTCTTCGGCCATCGGCACCTGCGGGCCGAGCGTGGCCGCGACCGACGCCGACCAGGACGCGCGCCGAGTCTCGGCGGTCTCGGCAGAAATCCGGCCCCCGCCCCGTCCCGGGCGCAGCAACTGCCGGCCCGCGAGGAACCTTCGAAGTTGGGTCTCCCTCCGGCAGAACGAGCCTAGGACTGGGAGGCCGCCTCCAGGGGCGCGGGGCGCGGGAGCCTCAGGACGAGCGAGTCATCCCGGCGGGCCCGGCGCATGCAAGGCGCCGCCAGGCTCCCCGCGCTCCTCCTCGGCCGGTGGGGCTCGAGAGCGGGCGCCCGGGCCCCGGCACGCCCACCAGGCGCGCGCGCCCACCGCCGCGGCGGACTGAGCCCGGGGCGGGCAACGCCGGAAGTCCCGCCGGAAGTCCCGCCCAAGTCCCGCCGAAGTCCCGCCGAAGTCCCGCTCTCGCGCGGCCGGAGCCGTCTGTGATTCGCCTGCCGCCTCACACTTCATTTCCCATCTCCCCTCTTGCCCGTTGCCAAGGCTACGGGGGGAGGGCGTTCCCAGCCTCTGCCGGACGCAAGCGAACTACATTTCCCATAAGTGACCTCGCAGTGCGACCAGCGACGTAAGTAATGACGGCCCGGGAGAGCGGGGTTTTCCGACCCATCCCGCCGGCCGGCGAGGGACCGCCGGCGCCAGATTCCGACTCCGACTTCGGAACCACATTCGGCATCGAGGCCGGCTCGCTGCGCGGTGAGCGGTGTCCAGAAGGAGGCTCTCAGGGCCCGCGGACACGCTGGCGGGGAAGCCACGGGAGTCGGGGAGGTCCCACCACGCCCTGTACGCGTCGTGACCACGGCAAGTGTCCTGACTCCCTCATTCCCGGTGCCCCCAACCTCAGAGAGGAGGCCGTTTTGGAACACTTTGCTCTTGTTTCCCTTGGAAGTTGCTGGGGGCCCAAGCCAGGCCGCCTCCTCGCCCTGGCTTCCTTGTGAGCCGCCGCCACAAATTCTACCCGCGGGCCATGAGTGGCCGAGATCAGGGGTCAGAAGTCTAAATCTTCGCAGCAGGTCATGTCCAGCTCAGACATTTTCTGTAAGATGCACTGACGTGGTCATTTTTCGTGGGGCCAGTGGGCTTGGCCTTGGAGACCTGTCCTAGACATTCAGTTCGCGAAGTTCAGCGCCCTCCTCGGTGCACCGGGTGGGTGGGCCTTCCCTGGGCTGGATTCTCACAAACCTCATCTGATGCCAGGGCTCTGGTGGCTTCCACATTCCCTGAGCTTACCCAGCTGGCATTGATGAGGAGGCTGGTCCAGGCGACCGCCCCGGGGGTTGGCTGTTCTCACACCTGGTGTCTGGCGCAGGCCCTCTTAGGTCTTGGTGCCTCCCTGACCCCCTTCCTAACGGTTGTTCACCCTCTTGACAGCCACCGACGCCAGTCCGCTGGCCATGCTCCGCTGTCTGGCCCACTGCTCTGTCTCCAGCTGTGCAGTGCTCACCTCTTAACGGGTCCTGAGTTGGCCAGAGATCCTTAGGTAGTCCTTGCAACCCTGTTGTCTCCAAGAAGGCAGGCAGAGGTGAGACTCCCCAAGTACATGCCTGTTGTGGGTAGCCATGGACCGTCATGATTGTAACTTTCGCAGCCCATGACGTCACCCTATCGGAGTGCGGTCAGGAGCACTGACTGATGGGCCAGGTAGACTTGAAACCAGCGATGGCATCTGAGCTTCATTCCCCAGGAAGCTCAGCCATGGAGATTCCAAGCTGGGGCAGGAGTGCTCTTAGGCTTAGACTGTTCTCATACCTGTGCCTGTGCCTCTGGTACTGGTCACCCCTTAACATGTCCTTGGCTGATACATATCCTTAGCCATTGCTAGCAAGCCCATTCCTCCGTGGGACAGCCTTTCTCTCCCATGGTGTGGGTAGAGGCGTGAGTGGTCCAGGCCTGAGGTACACAGAAACTCAGTGCTTCTGGTCACAGCTGTAGGAGGCAGCACTACAGTGGGATCCCAGGCACTCTGACTGTGGTGGCCACTCTTAACCACTCATCTTTCCTGGGCTTGCGTTCCCAGCTCATTCTGTTTTTCATTTGTGCTATTCGTACAGTTGCCTTCTTGGTCCTCGGTAGTTTCACTTTTCAGATTTTAGGTTTAGTGCTTCTTTAGGGAGAGTCACTGGGGAGGGGATGGGGTGACCCTAAACTGCAGGACTCCTACCTGGGGCTGGCTGCCTGAAGGAAAGCAGGAGGATGAAGTTTGGGTTGCAGGAGGACACCTGAAACTATCCGGGTCGTAATGCAGCATGGGAGGCTGTTGGCGTTTGGGAGACGCCTCCTGCCAGCCAGTCCCGCAGGACTGTGAGGTATGACCAGAGGTGGGAGTGTCCACACAGCCACAGACGGCCTGAGCAGTGATGCTGAACTTCCAGCGCCAGTGGTCGACTGTTGCTGTTCCCACCACCCTGGGCAATGGGCTGAGATTGTAATTTCCCCATTTTACAGATAAGGAAATGGACACTGAGAAGTGAGGCATTGTACCCATTCGCTTGGGAACCCAAGTACAAGCTCAGGTCGACCTGACCCCCTAAGCTCTAACCCCTCTGCCCCTGTGTTGTATTTTTTGAACCTATTAGATATTTTTGTATTGCGATTTTTCATGGTGGTTATATTGGATGCAAGTTTGAAGTGTGTGAATTTGAAAGTATGAGGTACAGAATGTCCGTCAGTTTGGCGCACCTTCCTTGCTCCTCCCACCAGGCTCTGCGGAGGGGTAGTACGCGTGCGCAGCTATGGAGGGGCGGCCGAAGGCGAGTCAAGTTACTATAGCAATGAGCCACGCCCCCTGTTTGGTATGCGGCGTCTGATTGGTCCGCGGTCCCTGACAACTTCGTTTAGCCCACCTGGTCCGCTGAGGGTGTCAGGAAATGTTGCGGCTGCGGGGCCGGGAAGCCGGGATAACCGAGTTGCCAGGTCGGGCCAAGGCGTGGAGTTGAGAGTTGAGGGGAGAAGGTATTTTTCAGAAAGCTCTGTGTTCCCCATTCGAATCCACGCCCTATCCAGACCGTCAGCCTCAGTTTCCCCATCTGTCAGTCTGGACACTGCCGCTCCCGGGGTCCAGAGAGGGCCACCCGTAGCTCTCTGTTCCCTCGGCCTAAACACAAGAAGATGCCCTGATGGCTGGGGACGGGTGTGGTGTGGGCCTCTGACCTTGATGCGGAGAGGCTGGCCTGATTCCTCTAGAATGGAGCACCGGCTGCCCCTCTGGGGATAAAGGGAGCAGAGTTGGGGGAGGACTCAAGAAAGGTTGAGGGAGTTGGGTACCCCACGAGTGTGGTGGAGGCGGCAGTGTGGCCAAGATAGTGGCTCCTCTGCTCAGCCCTCTGGACACCATCTGCCATGATTGGTCCGTCCTTGTGCCCAAGGCGCCCCCAGTGCGCTTGGTGCACAGCAAGTGCTCAATAAATATTTGTGTATTAACGAATTCTCCCTGCAAGTAGAGTGTTTATTGCCGCCGATTCTACAGAAAAGAGAACCACAGTCGGGGGTACAGGCCTCTGGCACCATGCTAGGCACTGAGACTGCCCCACTCTCTGGGTGTTCACAGGACCTGGGAGTAGGAGTGAGCCTAAGGCAGGGATGTAGGGAGCGGGTGTCCAGCCTGGCCAGAGTAGGCAGAGGGAGGACTGGGAGGGCACAGCCGCAGGTGGCCACAGAGGCTGACAGCAGAGGTGGAGAGGAGTCTGCCATGACCCTGGCCCCAGGGTGGTTTCGGACAGCTCCTTTGTTCCTGGGCAGTGGGCGGGCAGGCATTGAGGTAGTAATCAGCAGATGGGGACGCTCAGCGGCCCCTGGGCTCTGTCATCGGCCTCATTTTACTGGAAAAGAGACTGAGGTCTCAGGCTCTGAGCTGGGAGGGTAGAGAAGCCAAGCTTCCTTGTAGCCCCCAGGAGGAAGCTGGTTAGGACTGAGGGGGAGGGGCCCGAACACGAACTGCTCTCAGCCGCCACCGCCCAGCCCCAGGTCCCCCTGCCTCAAGCCAGCTATCATTTCCCCTGGGTGTCCTTGAAGATACAGCTCTAAGGTCTCTTCCTCCGTGCAGCCCTCCTAGAACACCCTAAGGCAGAAAGCATTGTCTCTCTCTCTTCTGTGCACTGACAGCCAAGGGCCCTTTTCTGAACTCCCTGGCTGGGTCCATCCCTGCCTTTCCCTCTCCCCCTCCAGCAGGAGTGCGGGAGGGAAGGGATAAGGAGGGAGATATGGCGAGCCTATGTAAAGTGTGTGATTCAGTTAAGGCTCTTTAGCTGGTTATCCTGGATTATTAGGGCCCACCTGATGTCATCACAGTGTCCTTATCCGTGAGAGGGAGGTGAGAGGGCCAGAGAGATTTGAAGATTCTGCATTAAAGATGGAGGAAGGTGTTCGGAATGCAGCTTAGAAGCTGGTGAAGCAAGGAGACAGATTCTTTAGAGGCTCCAGAAAGAACTAGGTGAGCGGACACCTGGACACCCGCCCCGAGAGACTGGTCCGAAGACTCTCGCCTGCAGAACTGAGCCGATGGAAATTTGTCCCAGCAGCCATAGAAAAACAAGACAGATCTCCAAGCCTGCTCCTGCCTGATCGGGTCCCCTCCCTGTGGGGCTGGGCTGTGGGTGACATTGGCACACGGGTGTGGGACAAGAACTGGTCTGGGAGGACACTCCCTCAGACACCCTGCTGCTCTCGCTCTGGATTCCCACCTGGAAGCAGCAGCTCACAGAAGGCGATCCGCTGACTGGCCAGGTCAGGATGGCTTGCAGCCTGGTGAGCCCGGGGGGCCCACAGGCATTTCCAGGCCGCCTTATGGTCACCTGCAATGCTATCATTGTCCAGAAAACTATTTTACATGCACTGTATGCCAGGCACTGAGAACACACAAGTAAATAAACCAAAAAGGACCCTCCACAGAATTCACTTTGGAAAATGCTGGATGCCCACCTGCAACGCAGCACCCCAACCCTGGGTGAAGCAAGGCAGGGTGGCGGCTCCAGGGCCTGCAGGGTGAGAGGAGATGACTCATGTTCAGTTTGTGCAGAGGGTAGCTGCCATCTACTCTGCTGTGACTAACCCAGGAAGGCTTCTGGGAAGAGGAGGACAGGAACCTAAGAGCTGCCCTCCATGAAGGCTGCTGAACAAAGGGAGGGCGGAAGCATCACCTCAGGGTACAACAGGGATGCCACAAAGGCTGGTGGCTCTGGCAGAGGAAGTGTAGGAACCGGCCTGGAGATTAATGAGTGACGGGGGCTCTAGCATCTAGAGAGGGTGCAGGACCCCTAGGGTAGTCCAGGAGCATCCAGGAGCAACCCCCAAGTCACATGACACTCTCTGACTCAGAGGCCAACCCTGGCCCCTTGGAGTCTTGGTGGCCACAGTTGCCCCACAGCATAGTGGGAGGACCCATAGGGAAAGTCCAGGCTCCCACAGCAAGTTGGTGCTCAGCAGCCAGATGGGAGCTGGTCTTTGAGGCTCAGGCCTTATCTGTCACACCCCAGCCCTGGCCAGGCCACCCATGCCCTTCCGAACCCAAGCGCCAGCCAGACTGGCAGGGTGTCAACCCAGGACTGGCAAAGCGACTGCTGGATCCCCCGCCCAGGCCCAGCCTGCAGGCAGCAGAGTGGGAAACGAACCACAGCGGCCCAGTCAGGAGTGTGGCCAATGGCAGCGACAGCAGCTCTGCCTCCAAGGGTGGGGGCCCCAGCCACCTGCAGGGACTTTCAGAGCCTTCTACCCCTGGTGCTGCTGACGATGCTCCCCCAGGGCTCTGATGACGACTGGGGGTGTGCTCAGTAGGACGCTGGGGAGTGGGTGGGGGGCCCCTAGCAGGCTCCCAGCTGGAGGTTGGCCAGGGGGCTCCCCCAGCTGGACTCCTACTGGACCCTTCCGGAGACCAGGTTTAGGAGCACCTCCCAGCAGAACCTTTACAACCATGGGGTCAGGGGACCCTCAACTGGATGCCAGCGGGGATTGGGGATGGGGCACTCCCAGAAGGTCCCCGAGGGAGCGAAAGCAAAGTTGTTCCCTGAGAGGGTCCCCTGTCCCATGGTGATGGTCCCCTGTCCCATGGTGATGGTCCTGTCAGGCCTCCCTTACGGAGAAATGGGTGCCTGCCACGCACCCTGCTGAGGCTCAGGGGATGGTGGCCAGTGCTCCTGGCAGGGCTCCACACCACGACGCCGAGGTCCCCAGGCCTGGAGACAGGGACTGCAGCACAGATGCCTTTACTGTGACCCCCACACCCTCCTCCTGCCCCGTGCCCGCGGGGCCCAGACGGGGCCACCCTCTGTCCCCCACATGGGGTCCGAGGGCCCGTCCAGCGTACGCTCGGCCTCCACTGGGTCCTCGGGACTCCCCTCAAGCGTGTCCTCCGCAGCTTCTGGCAGAGCGGCGTCCAGGTCGCGGCCCGTGGGGTGCGGCGTCCAGGCGGGGGTCCAGGGAGCGCCCGGCGTGGGCCGCGGCGGGAACCAGGAGAAGCCAGGTGCCGGGGCGAGTGCCACGAGCTGTGGCCGCGCGGGGCCGGAGGAGGCGGCGTGCGGGATGAGGAAGAAGATGTAGACGCCGGAGACGACGAGGCCCGCGGCCACCAGCACCGCCAGCGCCACGGC